CCTGTCTGAAGGTCTGGTTTCCGTGAGAATCGGGTGACCAGACGTCCTCTTTTTCCTGGACATGTCCTACTTTTCATACCTACAAAAATGTCAGGGAGGAATTTCTAAATCGTTCTGGATTTCGGTGCAGCAGAATCGAGCCGTGAGCTCCAGGGATGGTCCGGGTCCGCGGCCCCAGTGCTTCCCCCCACCTGCTTTACTGGGCAGGTGAGAGGAGGAAGCATACCGTCATCGGGTCGGGTTCAGACCCCCCCCCCAAAAAAAGGGTTATTTTCAGAATCCCAAATCTGGTCTCCCTACATCTAGGGATGGGAATCGAGAACCGGTTCCTGTTCAGAAGCGGTTCCGTTTGGCAGCTCGCCTAACGGTTCTCTGAACGGTTCCAGGCAGAACCAGAGCCTGGCGCTGGGCACCACGACTTACGTCCCGCTTTCTACGTAACTTACGCACACGGCATTGATTAAGCAAGCAGGACCTGACCAGGCGTAAGTCTAGAAAAGCAAAACAAAAAAAATGGCGTCCCATCGGGTAAAGCGATCGAAAGTTTGAATGTAAAGAGGCGATAACATCCGCGGGAGGAAATGCATCCAACATGCAGAAACACCTGCGCTCACAACATGGCGTAGATTTTAACGAATGCCGTGTTTCTGATGCTTCCGGACAGAAGCTAAAGTTACGACCAGCATGGAAGGAAACTCTGGTGCTAAGCAGCTAGTTTTCTATCACTGGCTGAGCTTAATGTGGTTCCCAGTAAATCAGAGGCCATTTCTGGAAATAAACCAGTTTCCTTCCTCTCTTTGGGGTCATTAAGGGAGGGTGCCTTCCTCGTTAACCCAGCCCTTCATTTCCAGCATGTTTAATTAGAACTACTGGTAGCTGGAATTCTTACATGATTCTATCTATTGCAATGGATGCAATGAAACATGCTACCAAGTTCCTCTGCAGCTCAGGGAGTCAGAGAAAGGTGGCGCTCATGTATTTAAATCAGGGGGAGGTGAGTTTATTTCCAGAAATTTAAAGTAATGCTTTTCCATTAAACAGAAGCCTTCTCCATTAGAATTAGACGACTGTGAGGAGACGGGCAGCCTGGCTGGATCAGAGGCTGCAGCTCCCGTTCACTGCCTTCTGTTTCCACCGAGGCAGGCAGAGATAGAATGTCCCAGGAGAAGGTAGACCAATGTCATCGTGAACTCACCAAGTTCATTGTTTCACAGAATCGATAAGAGAATAGAATCGTTTACCAGAATCGAGAAGGGAATTGGAATTGTGAAATTTCCCGACCCTACCTACATCAGAACTGCTCTGATTTCATCTGTCGAACCAAACATCGCTGCAAAGTTCTCTCCTTTTGGAGCAAGAACCTTGGTTGATGTAGATGGGTCAACAGGGGGCGCTGTAGGCTATGAAACACATGTGAAAACAACATTAAGGGGTTCTGGTTCTGGTCCAGAGTTACAGGCAGCAACACCAACCAGGGCAGGAAGGCAACAAACACAGAAAGGCAGGAAAACGAAGCGAAGAAGAAGAACCAGCCTTCATCCTCATCTCCTCACTAGATCCAGAGGATGGGTTTAAACTGCCACTGTGACCTCAGGATGACCTTCAATCTCTGCTCATCATCATCATCATCATCACCATCATCATCATCATCATCTTCATCATCATCATCATCATCATCATCATCATCATCATCAGTCCAGAAGCTTCTTTCCTCACTGCAGATAATCTGCAGCTTCTCTGACGTCTCACTCTGGTCCAGGAACACTGCAGATGACAGACCTTCAGCACCGTCCCCTGAAGGCCCCCGGGGGGCCGAGGCAATTTGTCCCATAATGGAGGACATTACCTGCTCCACAGCGCAGACTGCTGCAGCAGAGAAGCTTTTCCTCCTTAAAGCAGACGCCAGATGAGCTGAAGAGGTTTAATCAGGTTCAACTTCTGACTCCAACAAGCAGGTTTGAATGGAAGGAAGGAAAATGACAGGAGAGGCTGGAAAGATGGAATGAATCCCTGACAGAGAGCGACCTTCTGCTGCAGCAGCTGCTTCCAGGCTTCCTGGGATAAACACACGGCTGATGGAGGTCAGACAGAAGCACAGACAGAAGCACAGACAGAAGCACAGACAGAAGCACAGACAGAAGCACAGACAGAAGCACAGACAGAAGCACAGACAGAAGCACAGACATCAGGTCAGACATCAGGTCAGTCAGGATGTTCTTAAGCTGGAACCTTGAACTCAGTCTGGTTCTGTTCTGCTGGTTTCCTTCAGCAGTTTCCAACCTAGCAGCCAGAAACAGCAGCTGGACCTTCTGCCCTGATAATGCTCCTCATGTTCTGCAGCTCCTCTGCCTGATGCTCCGCCCCCATCACTGCCTCATCTGCACGCCATGCCTGATGCTCCGCCCCCATCACTGCCTCATCAGCACGCCGTGCCTGATGCTCCGCCCCCATCACTGCCTCATCTGCACGCCGTGCCTGATGCTCCGCCCCCATCACTGCCTCATCTGCA